TTTTTTTTTTTTTTTTGAGTCTTTTTTCTAATATCTAACCCCACTTTTAACCTAAACCCACTACAGTACCCTCCAAGAGTATATGAAGGGCCTTTGAATTAACTTGCAAGGATGAGAAAGAAGGCAGGGTGAGGAAGGTAGAAGGGTCTCATGCATTTGATAAGGGGAGTTTGGAGCTAGAAAATCTTCGAGATTCTCCTAATGCTGAGATTGTTTAATTCTGTGAATGGCATGACTCAAGCCTTTGGGGGTGGTGGGGATGGAAGCCACCCACCTGGTAGTAAGGGAGGGCTGCTCACTGCCCTGGATGTGGATCGTGCTGAGCTCTTGCATGCTGCGCAGGCGAGTGGCTGGCAGGTTCGAATTGGGCAGGTGTGTGGTCTTCTTACTACGACGGGAGCAGCAGGTGGTAGTGAGGCCTGGGTGGCTGGACAGCGAGGGACTTCTTGTGGACGGGTAGTTCTGCATTGAACTCTCCATGCAGTTCTGCTCAAACATCTGCTCATCAATAAACTCATGGTTCTGTGGGAGGCAGAAGGAGAAGAAGTAGAAAAAGGAGGTAGGGAGAAGGAGGATGAGCTCCCATATTCTGTATGGCTGCCTGTCTCTGTTCTGGGCCTTTAAGGAAGGACTCTCAGCTGCCTGGATCACAGATAGCATTCGGGAGGGGTGATATCCCACAGGCATCAAACAAGGAAAGAAAGACAATCATATTGGCAGCCCTGGCCATTGGATTGAAGGGTGGGGATTGTGGTTGTTAAATCATGATGTGACATCCACCCCACCTACAGCTTTGAACTGAAGGGATACAGAGGACATGGAGGGATTTAGTGGCATCATCAGAGCTAGAAGCAAAGACTTTACTTTGCAGGCATTGTAGAAGATCTGCCAGAGGTGGCAGACAAGGGGTCACTGACTGTGGGTGGTGGGTATGCTAGGTTGTCTTTTCCAGATTTAATGGGTTAGATCCTTACGAATCTTGGGTAAGGGTGTGACGTAAGTTTTTAAGAGCACTGGGTTATTCACAGAATTGGGAGAACATTGCTCTTGAAGGTCAGTGGGGTCAAACTGTAAGGAATATGGTTTCTTTTAATGTTTCTTCAAGTGACTGTGGCATATGAATCCTTAATATACCTGGAGGGACAGAATTCCCTTAGTCAAGTGTAAGCATGGGAAGGGAATGCCAACTGTTTCCTAACTGGAGGTCATCGAGACGGGTATAGCTGAATCCAGGATAACTAAAAAATGGCTATTTGGCCAAGGTGACTAAAAAATCTATGGCATTAATGGTTTGGCCAAGGCTGCCAGAGTGAGGAGAAAGTCTGAAGAGAAATAGCATGAGAACAGAGTTCAGAGACCAGCCCTGACAGTCAATATCAGGAGTCCCCAGAGAGCTGGGAGGTGGCACAGATAGATGTGGCACATGGACACTCACAGGATACCATCATTGGTGCCATGTTCCACCACCCCTTCCAAGCCCCTGGGGAGGTCAACAGGGGGAATCAGGAAAGCAGTTGGGTAGTTCAGCACAAAATACTGGAAGCCTGAGCTGGTACTAAGTATGACAGCAGAGGTAAGATAAGCCCCAGAAAAATCAACAGCACATGCACAGAACTAGACCAGGGGGCAAAAAGAAGAGAACCCACAGACTCAGAATAATTAGAGAGAAAAACATCAATTGAATTTTTAAAAAGTTATACCTTGATGGTGGAGGTTCGTACAGATAACAGGGGATCATCCACAAGATAGGACAACCCCTACAGGACAACATGCCAACAGAAAATAAAAACACCATTCATTGTACATTCCAGCATTCCCAAGCCAGTTTTGACATTCCGTCTCTCAATCCCAGCATTCCACCCTTTGAGTCCAACATTCCATCCCTTATCGCCAGCCTCCTGCTTCCTTTGTCCCAACATTCTACCCCTTGGCTCCAACAGGAACCTGCCCAAACCCAACATTCACTCTTTCCATCCCAATATTCCACCCCTTGAGTTCAACATTCCTCCCCTAAAATCCAGCATTCCAGAACTTTAATCTCAATATCCCACTCCACAATCCAACATTCTTTCCCTCAAATTCAGCATTCCATCCCTTAAATGCCAGCATTCCATCCCTCAATTCCAAAATCTCATTCCTTCAATGCCAACATTCAAGCTCTTCAATCCCAAATATCTTTCCCCATATCCTTTCAATTTACACATTCCACCCAGCACATGCAAACTTGGAAAGGGCAGTTGGGTCCAGGCCTATCCCTTTGGCAAGCCTGGAGTCTTTGAGAGAAGTTCTAGATATGCATATAGTTTTTGTTGATAAGTCCTGGAACCTAGGGTTTGCAGAGCACCTTCCGATTTTGGAAGTCCTAATTGGGTTCAACTGCCAACCATAGTGCCCTCATATTGCTCAGATTAAGAGTCATTTAACATCTATTCCCCAACATCTGGGAGGCCAGGGTATGTAACATTCAGAATTAGAAATTTCCTTCTTTACTGTGCTGAGCCCTGACTATAGGCTCTTTGGGGAGGAAGGTTCTAGAAAGGCACAGGGAAGGGTCTCACTTTGTTTCTCTCTGGCTTGTCTACCCTGACTTCTTCTCCCTCCCTACTATTTCTAGCACTTTTTGCCAAGGGTCCAGGGTTAGCCCCACTGCCCTTCCTTTCAATCTGTTGGTGAGGCACAAGCATCATTCCACATTCCAGCCATGGCACCCTGAACCATGACTCTATTTTAACAATCAGTCTTTCAGAATCTGAACTCCCTGGGAATTGCAGAGTGACTGAGAGGGGATGGTACTGATAAATCCTGGCTGGAGAAATATACACACTGCCTTCTTCATTCACTGTTTCCTGTTCCAAGAGGAACGTGGTGAGCAAAGGATCCCACAGACTGCATCAATCTAGCCCCAGGGGTAGAGCAAAAATAGACATTCTTCTCTACTGTCCTGTACAAATTTGACCCTAGTTTTGAAGGATGATGCCCACCTGAACTGGGAAACAGATAGGGAGAGCCTTCAGGCCTTTGTAATCAAGAAATGGGCTGTGGGGACTGGTGTAGGGATGTGGGAAGGCTGGGAGAATGGTCTCCTCTATGCTGCTGCAGGACAGACCTTGCCCCACTCCTTAGGGTCTTCCTACTGAGGGTTGATAGACAGACCTCATTACTACCTTTTGGAACTTTAACTTCTGGCCCAGGATGAGGATGTGAGTATAGCCTCAGGAAAGGCTCATGGGTCTGGAATGAAAAAGGAGGTGGCAATGGGCTGGGACTCACAGTGGTTTTTTCCAGGCAATGCAGCAGGTGATGGTGCTGGCTCTCAATGAGTGAGGTGGTCTTGCCCATGTGCTCATCTTCTGGGGTGCCCTGGTAAGAAAAGAAGAGACTGAGTATAAAGCTGGTGGCTCCTCCCATCTCCAGCACAGGACGTAGGAAGTCACCAGAAAAATCTGGATGAACCAAATTTTAGGGTCGGCATACAGCATGCTAGCCTTTGGTTTAAAGCTGGTTTGGGGTAGTGGTGATAATCCTATGGGAGAGGTATGTGGGTGGGGCTGCTGTCTGAGGAAAGTCTGGAAATATGTCCTCCTCAGGGTTCAAACTGGAGCTTTGGGGTGGGAGTGCTGGTGCCCCTGGAAAGAGAAAAAAAGCCCATCCTCCCCTTTACCTTCCCCAGCCCAGGTCCTCCAGGCACCTACCGTCAGCTCCAGTGCCTCATTGAGGAGCCCGTTGCGCTTGCTGTGCAGGTAGGCATTGGAGCTGCCCGTTTTGGCCACACGGATCCTGGCAAGGCGGGCCTTCTGCGATTAGCAGAGATAATAAAAGAGTGAGGGAGACCAAAATACAAAAAGACAGCAAGACTGGCCCCGTCAGTGCCAGGGGCTGCCCCAGGGAGGCTGGCTCCTCAGGTGACGTCTGATGAATGGGAAGAGGCTGCTTCTTCCCAGCCGCAAGCATCGCTCGTTATCGACCCTGGGACTGCGTCTGAGATGCTGTGTACCCGCTTTGTACAGCTTGGCCCTGGTCAGAATTCCTAGGGGTTTCTACTCATTTCTCTAGCCTGGGTGTGATCCTGGCAGGAGAAATATCACTCATCCAAGTTCTCCCTCCTCCCAAAGGTTTCATGACCATTATCTTACTCAGTTTTGTAAATGTCATGTACTATTCAACTGGAGGATTTCTTATCTCTAACTAGACTGCCAGTTCCTTATGGAGTGTATGTGATAGCTGATCTGAGACTCCCCTAGGGTCACATGCAGTTCTCTGCATACAGTAGGTCCCCAAATATTAAGCAATTATGAGAAAAGCAAAGAGTGTGCATATGTGTCCCTCAACACTTCTGAACTCCTCTGCTTTCTGTTTTTTCCCTTGGTGCTTACTACTAAGGGGATATATGTTTTATATATTTATCCTGTACTGTTTCTATCCCCCACTACAAAGTTAACTCCTTGAGGGCAGGAGTTTTTCCCTTGTTTACTGACGTATCCCCAGGGCCTAGTAAACAATGGGTTCTTGATTTTTTTCAAGTTAATAAATGTGTTTACAATTGCATGTCTGTCTTTGGTAGTGGATTTATGCATGGTTGTATATATATGTGTATTTTGCTGTGCATGTCAGTGGGAAAGAGTGGACGTGCATGTGAGAGGTGACCTGTACGTGTGTGAGAAAGGGGAGGATGGAACCCATTTCCATACACCACTAGGACAACTGAAACTCTCTCCAGCTCCAACCCAGGAAGCCTTCAGCAGAGAAGGTTGCCTGCAGGAGGACTGCATGGTGTCTCAGTATAAGCTCATCCTTCTGGCTTGCAGAGGCAGTGGGAGAGGCTGGACACACTGCATATGCTGTCTGCTCTTCTCCTTCCTAATGACCATAATCATTGTCACCATGACAGTAGCACAACCAAAGCGAGAGTCTAAGAGGAAAAAGTCTTTGGGAGAGAAAGGAAAGAGACGGGTACAGGGGTTCTGCTGGTTTAAAAAAATGTAGCTTGGGGTTTGAGCTCTGTAGATCTAGACCCAGCTCCAGGCTCTTTCTACCAGAAGCAGAAAAGCTCACACAGATCACACACCCATCTTGGAGTGGCGGGGTCCCTCCTCCTGACTCTGGACAAGTCCACATGTAACTTCAGCATGGACTCCGAGCAGGAGGAGTCCTTAGGAAATTGTGGCAATTTTCATTTCTTGTCACCCTCTCTAATTGTCCCAACCCCATGTGTCCTGCTTGGCTGGTTCACCTGCTAAGGAGGCCATGGACTCAGCAGTTCAGGACTCAGGGGTTCAGGCTGTCGACAGAAGCACAAGGGACATGATATATCTCTTGTTTTCTGGGAAGTCCCCCATTGGCCAGAATCTCCCTGCAGGGACAATTCAACTCCCATCCCTGGTTTCTAAATATGAGGAAGAGGCCAGGTCTTGAGCCTGGAGGATCTGCCCATAAATCTGAGGATGCTCCTCTTGATGAAGGAAAGAGTGAAAGGGGGAAGCTGGGAGAGAAAGGACTGCAAGTCAGCCCTACCTTCCTCCTCTCTCTGAGCAAAGAACATTCATTCAAGGTCCAGAACATTCTCCTCCCTGAGAATCCTGCTCCAGCCCTCCCCTTGGCTAGATGTTTACATTCAAGCAGGTTTCTCATCATTTAAGGATGTGGCTGTTATTGCTTTGGGTGAGTGCTGGGTGCTGAGAGCTGCATATGGAAATCCAATTGTGTTGGGCTCATTACAGCCTTATGTAATCTGATTGCAACACTTAGAGCCAGACCTTTCTCGTATCTGGGGTCTGTCTTCATTACTTTCTAGAGATGAAAGATTCTCCTGTTCTCCTTTGTGGCACTTCTTTTAATCTTATCTTACCCTGAGCTCTATTAAAGCAACAGATTGTCATATCAAATGCACTATATCGTTTAATCATTTCCCACGCAGGATAAAGAGGTTTGCAATTATTTATAGAACTACACCCAGCATATGAAATTTGGTGGGACTCTTTCACTGGCTTTGCGCTCTCAAGGGCCAGGCCCTGTGGCTTGTGCATACTTTTACCTCCAGCACCCAGCACAGGGCTTCACATTGAGCAGGTGGTCAAGCAAAGGTTGTGGTGACCAAAGAAGGAAGATGATCATAAATAGTTGGCTAGAAGTCCATGTTTATAAAGCCATTGTAATGGGCTCAGTCCTTATATGGACTGATCAGCTTCACTCTCTGCCATGGCTCCATGGACAACATGAGAGTTCAAAGAAAGCTCAGAGATCATCTTGGCCTATTTCAAAGACAATAAAATGGAGTGTGTGAGGGGAGGTGACTTATTCAGGACAAGGCAGGGGACTAGCAAGACTTCAACTCCGATTTCCATCTTTCAGGCCAAAGGCTCCTTCCGTAACATCCTCCCCTTCCTTCTCCTGCCAGGCAGGTTTCTAAACTTGATAAGCAAAGCCCAGGGAGGTGCATTTTCAATAGGTGTGGAGATTCCCGAGTTGGAGGAGTGATCTGGAGGGAGAATGCTCCCTCCCTGGGTGCAGCTACAGGCACCATCTATGGCCAAGACCATGATTCTCTCAATCCACAGGGAGCCTTCCACAATTAAGCACTTTCTAGCTGTCTGGCTGCAGGTGCCCTTTGGCCATGGGTATTTACATCTCTTGCCCTGGGAGAGGCAGAAGGAGAAAGAGCGAGAAATGGAAAGGTCAAGAGAAAACATGGGCAATTACACCCATAGACATTTATCCCAGAGAATTTAAAACGTATGTTTACATAAAAACCTGTACATGAATGTTCATAGCAGCTTTATTTGTGTTAACCCAAAACTGGAATCATCCCAGATGTTTTTCATCAGTTGAATAAACAAACTGGTACATCCAGACCATGGAACACTACTAAGTAATAAAACCCAATGGACTATCAATACACACAACTTGGATGAATCTCCAGGAATTATATGGAATGAGAAAAAGCTAGTCCCCAAAGGTTACCTACTGTATGAGTCCATTTATATAACATTTTTGAAATAAAAACGTTTTTAAATAGAAGATAAATGGTTGCCAAAGGTTAGGGACAGGGTAGAGCAGGGGGTGTGGTTATAAAAGGGTGACACAAGGGATCCTTGTGTTACTGGAACTGTTCAGCAGTTGTTTTTTTTTTTTGCCACTGGCTGGTATGGGGATCTGAATGTATGACCTTGGGGTTATAAGGCTGTGCTCTAACCAACTGAGCTGACTGGCCAACTGGGACTGTTCAGTATCTTGACTGTCATGGTGGATGCATGAACCTATGTAGGTGATAAAATTGTACAAAACTTACACACACACACACACACACACACACCTAAATCTGGGGAAATGTGAATAAGGCTGGTGGATTGTATCATTGTCCATACCCTGGTTGTGATATTGTACTATCGTTTTGTAAAATGGTAATTGGGGGAAACTGGACAAACTGCACAAGGGATCTCTCTGTATTATTTCTTATAACTATCTTTCTTTTTGTGTGTGTGTGGCTGGCTGGTTTTTTCTTGCAACTATGAAACTACAATTATCTTAAAAAATATTCCATTAATAAAGAGAATATAGGCATATACCAGAACCAAATGCTTCACTCCAGATGTGCTCCTCTCTGTCCACTGCTAGGCCTCGCCACCGGATCTCCAGTTCACTTGACTCAGAGGACCTAATCTCTGGTGCAAATTGTAGTACACCTATCTTAGCAATAGTTCCAGCAAACCAGTCACAATGGGAAGAGATGACAATAGAAACTTCTTTTTTGAGCCTTTACAATGAAGGCATGTGGGCTGGAGCTTATCTTTGTGGCTATCGTAGCTCCCAAGTCTGTGGTCTGGGCTGAGAACTATCATTAGCTTCTCTGACCTCCTCCCCATCCCATCTCTCCACTCCCCACTAAGTCCTCTGGACCTGCCCGCCTTGACTCACAGTGACAGACTCAGTGCTGGAAGCAAGCGATATATATATTTTTCCCCCTTTCAGAAAAAGCCCAAGGTGAAAGAGAGAGAGCAGAGCGACCTTGAGGAGAAACAGTATGCAGGTTAGGTGAAAACACTGTAGATATTTACTCTCATTTCAAAGGGAGAGAAAAGAAGGAGAGGGAGGGAGACCCATCTTCAGCAGCCAGAGGGAGGAATAAGCTAAAGTTACTGCTTCTGGGTTTTAATCACATAAGATGAGCTTTATAAAGTCCCAGGGAGAAATGTCCACTGTTATATTGTTTACAGGGGCAAAAAGTGGATGAGACGTTCTAAGAAGTGCACAGGGGCGTGGGTATGGAGGGGAAGGCAGCCACAGGAGCCACCCAGAGCACAGCTGAAGCGCGCTGTCACCGGACGATTCCTGGGAACTTCACCTGCTCTGCCAAAAACCTGTGTCAGCCCTAGCTCCTGTGGGAGCAGGGCGGGTGCTATAGGATCCCTTGCCCTTCAGGGCCTCAGGCTCCTGGATTTGGAAAGGAGATCCCACTTTCTGCCGGCCCCTTTATTTAGGACTGTGTAATGAATCTAGACATTGTTCAAATTGGCCAGCTGACTTGAATGGGGAAAGATGTAAGACTTCCATTTCTGGGATGACTGACAGGGGATGGGGGTGGGGAAACCCTGACCTTGGGTCAAGAGGTAGGAGGCAGGTGTTGGATGGGACAGAGAGGATGGACCAGAGCCAAAGATGAATCTTAAGGCTGGCACCATTACAGACTAGGTCAAGATAAGTAACAGTGTAGTTCAGCACAGGTGGAGGGGAACGGGAAGGCAAGGAAGAGGTGCCAACAAGGGCACACAGAGGCAATATGCTGGAGGTGGGAACCAACTGGATTTATTATATAATTATATACTATATTATATATTCTGTATATTTTATACATGGAAGTTATCATATTGTATAATAATTATTATCATGCATTGTGGAGCTAGCTTTCACAAACTCTGAGGCTTTGTTATAGTCAGCATGCACAGATCTGTTGAGAAATTCTGGACTCCTTTGATCCAGAACATGGCCCTGCTACACAGGGGTTATCCCTGCAAGTGGAAGGCCAGTAGCAGGGATCATGTGGCAAGGAAATAATCTAGCAACGCATAGGGCTGCTTCACAGTAAGTGCTTAGGAAATGTTTGTGGAAAAAATGAATGAAAGAAAGAATAAAATAAGGAGACATAATCCCAAGTTTTCAATAAGCTAATCTTTCAATGAGGTCCCCTCTTGTCCATTGTATGTAGAAGGCTCTGACCATACCCACTGGAGGTTGAGATGCTGCTGAAGGGGTAGCACATTTCAGCTCAGATCAGAAAAGAAATGAAAAATTCCCCTTCAGACATCCCTGTTCTGATAGGACCCTTGGTAAAGTCACTACCCAAGAACGTTCACTGGCCAGATGCCTTAAAAATGCAAGTGAACTAGAGTTGGCTGAGTTGATGAATTGTTCTACAGAGAAGGTTGGGAGCTAGTTGGGAAAGGATGCTTCTTTCTGAGTACCAGAGCCTTCAGACATTTTTCCTCATTTTGTAGGCAAATGAAGGTATTTGACCCTTCCCTGCCATCCTAAGCAGTGTATACGGGGCAAAATTAACTTTTCTCAGGACTGATAGTTACTCTCCTGATCATCAGTTGAGTTCTGTGCTTTAACCCTATGATACTCTGGAGGTTTTTAAAGCCTGTTGTGCCATTTGTCCCTGAACTCAATGGCCTCAGAATGTTCTCCTTTCATAGTATTCATTTTTTCTTTTCAGCAAATTTATTGTTGTCACTGGGTTTTGTATAGGCTATTATAGGATATTAAAAGAGATTATGTTTCCCAGTAAGCTCTTGGCTGGGAAAGGGAGAAGTCTAGGGGACTGCCAAGTGGCTGAGTTGTGGAGGCAGAGCCATGGACCAAGGAAGCTGCCATAGGTATCTAAAAGGGGGATTATCAGTTTATAGATACTTTAGAGTTTGTTGTGTTTTGCAGCTGACTGGGGCTGGAATTCCGGACACTGGTGAGCAAGAAGGGACAAAAAGCTGCTTTACCTTCCAAAACCAGAAGATGTCTGTGCAGTGATCCTCCAAGGAACTCCAGGCCGGACAACCTGACTGTGCCAGCTGCACAAGGCAGAGGTCCAGGCCTCTCTCCAGGGCTGCCCCCTGCCCTGTACACTGCTTCCCTCCCCCAATTCCTGTGTCTGAGGCTTACCTTTTGTGCCCTGCGTTTATCGGCTCTCTGATTCTGGTGGTAAATCCGGCTAAAGTTGGAAACAATCACAGGGACTGGCAGGGCAATGACCAGGACGCCACTCAGGGAGCAGATGGAGCCGAAGATCTTCCCTGCAATTGTCTTAGGCACCATGTCTCCATATCTGAGAGAGAGAAACAGGGTGTAAGGAAGAGAGGGGCCACTTGGGACACAAGTCAGACTTCCCTGCCAAGCATTCACCTGTTCACCCATTCATTCATTCATTCAGTCACGCAACAACTGTTTAGAGAGCCTACTATATGCCAGGTACTGTGTTATGACCTGAGAGTGAACAAAAGAAACATTCTTATATTCATGGAGCCAACATCCTACAAGGGGAAGACCACAGACAAGTAAGTGAATGAATAAAAACAGTTGTGGCTTGTGGTCGTTTCTATGAAGAGAATAGAGATAGGTGTGTGTCAGGTTTGGGGGCATGGCCAGGAGAAGCCTCTCTGAGGAGCTAACGTTAAACTGAGATCTGAAGGTAAAGGATCCAGTCATGCAGAACACCTGGGAACAAGTGTGCCAAGCAGAGAGAACAGAACACATACAGGCCCTGAGGTAGCGGGAAGGAGCTTGGCCTATTGTAGGAATTATCTAAGGGCCGGCGGGACTGGACACAGAGAGAGCGGGAGCGTTATACCAAAGGAGATTGAGGAGGCAGGCAGGGACAGTCCTAATTTACCTTTTTTTTTTTTTTTGGCTACTGGCCGGTACTTAGATCTGAGCCACTGATCTTGGTGTTACAACACTGCGCTCTAACCAACTAAGGAAACCAGCCAGCTGAGATTTATAATTTACAAAGCACGTTCACATATTTACCTCACATAAGCCCCAGAAACCCTGTGAACTTGGTGTCCTTATCCCCACTGTACAGATGCAGGAACTAGGCTCAGAGACGTCACACATCGTTTGCTCAGCTGGGATTTAAGCCCACTCCGCTTACTCTTGTCTCTTTCCCACTAACCCACTGTCTCAGAGGGGGACCATGGGCTCTGAAACTCAGCTCCTTAAGTCATGAAGTAGTGAGGCTCAAAGTCACTTGTCCTGAGGGAACCCAGACGTCTTGGGTCTCCAAAGAGAATGTAGAAGGGAATGAGGTAAGCTGTTTCAGAAGTATGACGTCCTTACTTCCTAAACACCCAAGGACTTTGTGTGGAGGATATGGCAGTGGTGAATGAATGAAAGAACTCATCTAAGCCTCTCAATACCCTATGAAGTAGGCTCCTGTTTTGAGACTGTCTTCCTTCTCTTTTAGCACCCAGGCCTTTCGCCCTGGCCCAAGCTGTCTTAGACATGCACTAATATTAAGGCCTGCAATAGCTCCTTCTGGATCTTTGTGACTAGGTTTGCCTCTTCTGCCATGATACTTAGGAGAGGTCTTGGATTCTGAACTTAGAAGACCTGGATTCAAGACCTTCCCAGCTCCATCATAAAATAACTGTGTGACCTTGGGGAAATGTTACTTTGGGTCTCAGTTCCCTTCGTCTATACAATGAAGATAATAAGAGTAATCTATATTATTATCCTATATGCAGTTCTATAAACAATAAATACTATTACTTTACCTAGGCATTCTGGAAACCATGTTCTCTGTTGATGGGGAACTCTAAACACACGGTTGACTGTCCCAAGTTCAAACAACCCCAATGACGAGGAAAAGGGGGCTTCCCCTGAGATATGTCATGTTAGCTGTGATCTTCAGATGACTGACTGAAAGGCGGCCAGTGGGCACACAGCTGTGGGTGAAAACAAAGCACGGCAGGAGTATGGAACAGTGTCAGGAATACCACATGCCAGAGTGACTGAGGCTGGTCAACAATGCTAAAGACAACAGAAAGGTTGTTTTACTCATTTGAAGAGAGGACAAGGAGGGAAGCTATGCCTACTGCTGGGGCAGATGGTCTGCCAGTAACAGATGACAGGCAGAAAGCAGAACGATTCCACTCCCATGTGCTCTCTGCCTTCTCCACTGAGAAGAACACACTTCATCTTGGAAAGGCTGGGGCAGATGCCGATAAGAAGCAGGGGAGGGGAGAGCAGGCAAATGCCCAGCTGGATTCAGAGGGTTTACATCACAGGCCCACATGGTCCCACCTGAGAGACAGGAGGAATGTGCAGATGGGGCTGTAGAACCACTGCTCATGATGTCTGAGAAGTCATGGTGTAGCAGAGAAATACCAAGAGACTAGAGATGGAAAACTGCTGTATTGATATTTTTAAAGAAAAGGAAAGGAGGTCTGAGAAGCCATAGACCAGTGGGATTGGCATCCATCAATTCTGCCATCAAATTGCTGGGAGAATTTGAGAGCAGATTATAAGGTGGACAGCTTGTGAACACTTGCAAAATAAGCTGTATTGGTTCACTATGCACACATCTTGCCAAATTAACCTTATTTCTTGTTTTGGGAGTAAGGTTTACTGGCTAGTGGGTCAGGAGACTGCTGCAGATCTACTGCATCATAATTTTAGCAAGATGCGTTCTCGTCCCAGTTCTTTATACCCTTGACAAGCTGGAGGAATGTGGTGTGGCTAGCAGTGTGGTTAGTAGCGGTTGAACAGCCACCTCTAGTCTTCTAGCGCTTCTCCAATTACAACAGTGGTCCTATGCCAGCAAAGGAAGTTCATGGTTTTCACATTAGAAAGGTCTACCTTTAGTAAAAGAGTAAAGAAGGAAATGAAATAAAGAATGGATCCAAAGGTAGGTCTCCGGTGGTGTTTTCCAGAATTTTTCAACAACTTGTTGAATTTTCAACAAAGCCAGAGGGAGGCAGCACGGGCTAATAATTGAGAGGAAAAAATAAAGTCAGACCTGGGTTTGAACCCTAGCCTCACAATATCAACTAGTTAAGTGAACCTGGGCAATTTAGCTAACCTGAGCCTCTACCACCTATAAAATGGGTTTTATATCCCTAATTTTAAGATTGTTGTGATCATTAATAATATAATTCGGAAGAAGAACTTAATTCAGTGTTTGGGTAACTGTAAATTCTCTGTAAGCAGCCAGTGAGGTGGGCACCTATTGTTTTGTTTGCTAGTCTCCTACCCCATCTAGAACTGTGTCCTTCCCCCTCCATTACGGCATAAACTCCGTCTGGGGAAGCTGCCACATTCTTTCAAACCTTCTCCTATGCCCCCATTCCTACTGGTCATAGTAAGTTCAAAATAGGGCACCTGACCCAAGCTGAGTCAGTGGGTTCCTTTCCTGCATCTATTTTTTAACAGCTTTATTGAGATACAGTTTACACATAATAAAATTCAACTATTTAAATTGTATATTTCAATGGTTTTTAGTGTATTTACAGAGTTGTGCCTCCATCACCATAGTCTAATTTTAGAACATTTTCATAACCGCCGTATTAGTCTGTTTCTTTTGCTTATAACAAAATATCTGGAACTGAGTGATTTATAAAGAAAATGAAATTTATTGCTTACAGTTTCTGAGGCTGGGAAGAGAGGAGTGTCTGTCTTGCTCTCTGCTCGCTCTGCTTCCACTATCTTGTAATGTGAGACCCCTGGGTCACTGTCACCACCACCAGATGGACTTTGGACTTCCCAGCCTCAGAAACTGTAAGCAATAAATTTCATTTTCTTTATGGAAGCAGAGAGAGAGAGAGAGAGACAGACAGACTCTCCTCTTCTTTTAAATCCCTCAGAACCACACCCCTGACCACCATTTTTAATCCATTCACTACTGCACGGTCCTACAATCCAATCACCTCTTCAAGGCTCTACCTTTTAATTACCATAATAGGATTTCCCACCCTTTTAACAGTCACAGTGGGGGCCAAGTTTCTAATACGTAAAACTTGGGGGACACAATTCAAGCTTCAGTGAGTTTTGGGGGGACATAATTCAATCCACTACACCCCCAAAGAAGCCTCACAGTGACCATTCCATACCTCACCCCTCATTCATAGGCAACTACCAGTCTACTTTCTGTCTCTTTAGATTTCTCTATTTTGGACATTTCATATAAATGGAATCATACATGTGACCTTTTGAGTCTGACACCACTTAGCACAATGTTTTCAAGGTTTGTCCATGTTCTAGCATGTATCAGTACTTCATTCCTTTTTTACAGCTGAATAACATTTCCTCGTATGGGTATACCACATTTTGTTAATTCATTCATCAGTTAATAGACATGTGGGTTGTTTTCATTTTTTAGCTCTTATGAATAAGGCTGCTGTGAACATTTGTGCACAGGTTTTTGTGTGAATATGTACTTTCATTCCTCTTAGGAGTCACATGGTAACTATGTTTAAGCAGTTTGAAGAACTGCCAAACTGTTTTCAAAGTGGCTGTACTGTTTTAGAATCCCACCAGCAACGAATGGGGTGACCAATTTCTCCTCATCTTGACAACACTTGTTATTATCTGTCTTTTTTTTTTTTGCATTTATTTATTTATTTTTTATTTATTTTTTTAATTTTTATTTTGTCAATATACAATGTATATGATTATTATGGCCCTTCACCGACACCTCCCGCCCTCCTCCCTCTCTCCCCTCCCCCCCAAGAATGTCCTTTCCGTTTGCTAGCAACATGAAGTAACTAAGGCTCCCATACTGAATTAATACAACTCCAGTTTAAAATAAAGGCACTTATTGGTTAGTCTCAGCAGTTTTACTAAAAATAAATGTGTAACTTTTTACTAGATATTGTGAACTATTTAAAATAATTTAAGAATCTTGTGTTAAGACTTTTTAGCCCCCTTCCTACAGCCCAGGTAGGAAATCATTAGTTTATAGAAAATTGGTATATCCAACTATTTATAATGACAAATTAGGAGTCCCTCAAGAATGTGAACTTCAGATTTCATCAAAAAAGGACAGTTGAGTTACAGGTAATTTTAGAGTCTGTGTGTTATTACTGCTTTGAAAATCAGCCTATGTAGTGATTATGAGTTAAAGCAGAATAATGTAGTAAGCAAAATATCATTCTTTGACTTTGCTAAATAGCAAGGAGTTAATTGTTCTCTGAACCTAATAACATCTTGAGATTTCAAAGGGGAAGTTGCTGTTTGAACATAATTGGCAATGTACAACATTTGATAGAGCAGAAAGAAATTTATAGATTTGTTTTTTTCTTTATGTAAAGTTTGTATTTTTCTCATATA